CCCCCCCCCCCCCCCCGTCGCCGAGGAGACCGCCCTGCGTCTGCCTATGAAGCGAACTCTTTACTCTCGCATACAGACAATGCATTTCGCCATCAACAACATTAGGAAGAAAGCAAAGGCATAAATGAACAATTTAATGCAGATTGCAGCTGCACAGAAAGCAAAAATAAATTTAAATATAGTCACTGGCTGTTGGGAACTTAAATCCTACTGGCACTTGGAACTCCTCCATCAATTTATAGGCCCGATCAAACGGAAATCTTGGATCAAATTTTGGTAGCACATGGAAATGTCGGTTGTTACTACTCTCTCTTTCGAGCTGGTTCTGGCCTCTTTGCCGGTCTGAATTTTCCACCCTCGTTACACGAAATTGTCTTGGAATTTTTATATTTTCATCACCTCTTTCGTGCATCCGATTACGTTTTAAATTGGTTACCCAGCTATTTAGACTGTTTGATGCATACCCGTTGTTCAATTTTCCGGGAAAATTTTCGTCATTTTGGACCCAGATTGTGACATGGCGTCCATTTTCACTAATTTTTGCGTTTTCCGGCTGCTGCGATGACGATGACGCGGGTGTCACTGCCAAAAATATGTTCTGAAAGCGGGAACTGTCAAAAGCCGGAAATCTTGCCAATTGCTCCTGAAAAAATTAGTTTGTTAAGTGAACCGTTTATAAAATCAAACTAGGAGTGAAACAATAAATTAGTCCAAACAGCGATGCACCAGGTTTGCACCAGTGCGATCAAGCGTTTTTACATGATTCCATTTTGTACAGAAATTGCCTCTACTACTGGGGTGCGCCAGCGGTGATACAATTTGAGCATTTAATGCGCCTGTACGCGAGGTCCATGTTTAGACAACAGCTCATCTTACACTTCGTGGCTTGCACATTAACAGCAAACATTCTTAAGAAAATGATAGCTCCTTCAGATCATCGAGTTAATTGGGTGCTTCAAAATGAATATTCACTTGCGCGCACGCAAAAGCCAACAAAAGCTAAAATTTTGCAAGGATATTCTATGCCAAAGTGCAACCTAAATGTTTCAAATTCATCTTTAGAGCATGCCTAGCTTGGCATAGAATATCCTTGCAAAATTTTAGCTTCGCAGCTTGACTGGATGGCAAAATCGCCTTTCGTTACACGTATCTGTGACGTATCCGATACAGTCTTACTTCAAAGCTCAATTTAGGCCCACTTATTCAAGTATGAAAAAGAAATATTCTCGTAAAGTTAGGGCTCTCTAATCAGCTTAGTCCTAGAGTTGGCATTTTGCGTGCGACTACGAAATCCCATAGTTGACATGTCTGCACAATCACCGTAGGCATGGATTAAAACTGAATTCGAAAGCCTGTGGCTCACATAAAGACATAAAACATCCTTGCGAAATTCTAACTCCTCTATCTGCTCTGGTTCCCGGAATTGCTTTACCGCCAAAAAATTTGCGTTAGTTTTTAGATTTTCGTACATGTGATTCAGATGAGAGTAAACCTTGATTATGCGTTTTTGCACTCGCATATGTTTTTGCACTTGCATATGCGTTTTTGCACTTCACGTACGCTTAGACCCCGCGTACAAATAAGCGAAAGTTTTGATGGCAAAATCGCTAACTCGAAAACCAGAAAAGCTATGAAGATGAGATTTTGGGAGGATTTTTTCTGTCTGCGTAGAACTTAAAGGTTTTTCAGTTTCTCAGCATTTACGATTGCTCAGTTCAGTGCGGGTAGCAACAATCTGAGCGTACACATCGGCAATCTTTCGACAACGTACGCTTTTGCAATTACAGAAAGATGCAAAAATGCATAAAAATTCAAGCACTGTAGTAGTCATTCACGCACTTTACAAATTTGTAAACGCGCAGCTTAATTTTAAATATAACTCATCTAGCAGGTCAGCCGCACAAACTGGAAATATTTTGTTGGAAAACCAAACAAAAGCACAAGATAGGCATCAACTGCAAATCCAGCAGTAAAAAGCTGCAAGCAACAAAATAAACATAAAACAGTAAAAGAGGGCGTTGCAACTTTTGAAGAACCGATAATTTAACGCAGGATATCTGCAAAAAGTGAAAGAGACTCCGCTTCAAATTAACACAGCAAATTCAACGTATTACTTCAGCTTCTTCAAAAATATCGTCCGCAATTTGTCGAATAGCTTCGTATTCGGCCTGGGCTCTTGTACGAGCTAAGTTGCTTTCCTCCCAAGCTTCTTTGATTTGCTTCGCATTAATAATTTTTGGAGGATGCGTTATGTAGCTTTTTATAAATTTCTTTGAAGTTCTTGGATTATCCTAAATTATAAATGAGATGTGAAACCGAATTTCCACAACTTCGACATTAAAACGGCTTAATGGTTCAAAAAACTAAAGGTAAGGCATTTACAGACCAATACAACTGTCCGCCTAATGCCGCTTTTTGCAGGCTTTTTACAATCTACAAATTTCTGAGTATACGCCTATATCCCTGGGATCCGTTCATACAATGGATTAAGCTGCTGAAATCCTTTACTGTCGCTTTCTTCTGTTCCAAATTGGGCCAAAAATTATCCCTAGAAACAATTTCAGGATTGCAAGAAAAAGTGAAGGCTGATTTTCTTAAATTATGAAGGAAATTCGAAATCCAGGCTGGAACGTACGAGGAGGGGCCGGTGCAACCATGCGTTTTTGCACTATTTCGTACTGTAGTAAGATTGCAAGGATCACAGTACAAGGACTTGTGAGATACTGGCCCTCAAAATTCAAGTTAATTGTGCAGGTACGTGGCATGTCAGCTGTAGATATCGGCTTTAGTGACTCAACAAGTGGAAAGTTGCTGGTTCGCGAAAAAGACCCCACTAGAAGAGTTGAATACGAAATCTTTCAGTTGCACATGAGTAGGGAGCATCCCCTTAAAATCCCAGCCTTTCGAGTCAACAATCGTTACCGAGTTAGCAATTTTCCCATCAAAATTTTCAAATGCCCACAAGAGAGTCCCACGCAGTCCTAAGGAGCTGAAATTGAGTACTCTTGATCGTATATGAGTATTGAAAACTACCCCAAAGTTTCAGTTTTTTAGCTTTTCTCGTTGCCAGGTCAGCAGTTTTCCCTCCAAAATTTTCGCGCGCCCATACATGAGTCCCAGACGATTCTAAAGAACTGAATTTAAACCTTTCAGTCGCACATGAGTAAGAAATATTCCCCTAATGTTCTAGCTTTCCAGCTTTTCTTGTTCCCGAGTTAGCAGTTTTCCACCAAAAGCTGCACGTGTCCGCACATGAGACGTAGACGTGCGTGACAGTTGTTATCGTGTTTCTGGGGTCCCGTCTGGCTAGGGAACACGCTGGCAAAAATTTCAGCATCAAAACTTGTGTGGTTGACGAGTAGAAATACCGGACGTATGAACACACACACGCACACAAACATACATCCCAGGCTGGAACGCACCAGGTGAGCCGGTGCGATCATGCGTTTTTGCATCAAACTTTGAGGCACT